ATATATATATATATATATATATATATATATATATATACATGTGTCTTTGTGTGCGTACAAATTTAGATATAAATAAAATATATCTGTTAAAAAGAAAAGACACAAAGAAAAACATTTCTTTACAATGGCATTCGAAAAGAAAAGTTTTACTTTTGCCTCTACTGATATATATATATATATATATATATATATATATATATATATATATATATATATAGTTGAAAAGGTTTTCTTGCGACGCGTTTCGTTCTTTCGTAATTCATCGGACTAAATTTGTTATCGTGGTTCGACTACGCATGCGCACGACCGAGGTATGCTGGGAATAAAAGCATTACAAGAAAAAAATTCACACTTTGTCATCCATTTTTCTCCAATATTGTTCTTGATATATAAAAGATATATCCTTGTACACACACACACACACACACACACACACACATATATATATATATATATATATATATATATATATATATATATATATATAGTTTATGAAAAATTAGGTAATCCGTATCGGTAAACACAAGGAGGATAAAATCCAGAGATGTAAATCCAGAGCAAATAATTTAAATAAAAACAGACCACTTTAAGGTTCCATATAATAAATTATTTCACCACAGCCCTTTTAAAGGACTGCGGATCATCAGACTTTACTTCCAAATGTTGAAACAAAAAATGAAAAGAAATTTACACATTTTTGACGGGCCGTATTAAACATATGTAAATTAAGGAATTGAATGGGGGAGAGAGAAGACATGAGTGAGTTAGATGTAATTTAAAATTTCTATTCTTTTATACTTAAAATTACTTGATGTCCAGACATTGACACATTTAAACGCTTAACATAACGGAAGTTATATATTGATATCGAAGGGGTGGAGGAGAAAAAAAACATAAAAAGGAAAAGAGAGAAGTCATGAGAGAAGGTGTCACTAATTTTCTTTTGAAAAATGCGTAGAGACAGATGCTGTTATTTTGTTTTACTTTGAAAGTGTTATTTGGGGGTTCATAAAGATTATAATGTTTGATATAAATTTGAATGTCTAAATTGTCTACAAAGAATTTAATTTGAAATTTGTTAGTGACTAAAAATATATATATATATATATATATATATATATATATATATATATATATATATATATATATATATATATGCAACTCCCACTGCTAAAAACTAATCGTTTAAAAGCGAATAAAGCCCTTACTATACAAAAAAAAGAAACCAGCCCTTAGTAAGATTAATTATGAACAGGGCCACAGGTTACTGGCCTTATTTGGAAATTAAGAATTTTAAGAATATGTCTATTTTCACCTAATTTTATACCACCTAAAATACTAATTATAACACCATTCATTATGTAAGTATTACAGAAAATAATCCTTGAAAATGGGTAATTGTTTAATCGAAAGTAGAACCAGCTAATCCTTGCTCAATTTTTGATATTCCTTAAGTCCGAGAAGAATATACTTCGTCGTGGAAAAACAATAAAAAATCAAAGTACGGGGTTATTCAAAAAGAATGAACCGATTTCATTATGCAATATTTTAATAAGGAAAAGCAATAGAAAACTTCAGCCAGATCGCAAGTATTCTACTTACAATCAACTTTTATTTTCTGTCTTACAAATGTTCAATGTGGCCACCACCTGCAGCACGGGCAACATCAATGCGATAAGCGAATTCCTCCCAGATACATATCAGCATATCCCGATCCATTGAGTTGATTGCTGTTGTTATTCAATGTTTAAGGTCGTCGAGGTTAGTGGGTATCGGTGGAACATGAATGCGATCTTTTACGTATCCCCACAAGAAAAAAAAATCACACACGGTGAGGTCTGGGGATCTCGCAGGCCAAGTACAAAAGCAAGGTTTTGGGCCTCCTTTCGAACAATCCATCACTGGGGTATTTCTTCGCACACGCCAGACAGTGGATTGAGAGATGGCAAGGTCACGACTAGCTCGATTTGTGGACTTCCGTGGACGCAACATTGATTCTAGCTACTTTTCCTCCGAAATTTTATTATGACGAAAAGAAAACGATTTTTTTATTAAATTTGGCTCTCATCAAAATATCCTCCTTGGGGCCCCGGTTATTGCAGCACGAAATGTATGAGGTATATTTTCGTCCTTTAGAAGGGTTTAAACGGGTTAAAATTATGTTCTTATTGTCTGAATTATATTTGTGTAGGTGGAAAAGGGGGAGATGTAAATTTAAGCCTCGATTATAATTATCCACCGATGGAAAACGCTGAAGATATGGGGAAGATGAATTTGATGTTTTTTAGTTTTAAAATTTACAAGTCTTAATATTTTTAATTATTATTAAATTTTTTTATTTTATTTATTTATTTATTTATTTATTTATTTATATATTTTTTTGCATCTTGGGTGCCTGGACACAAACCCTAGCAGATCTCATTCAGTTTCCTTACGTTTTCGGTTTTGCTTTATCGCTGTTATTCTTAAATATCGCACATTGTCACAAAAGACGATCAGCCAAGAATGTTGAAATATTATAAGAACTTGAACGCAAATTTACCGTTGATGATTGAGCAATCAGTGCACTTTCTATACATTTACGCATTTTTAAATTTCTTTTTCATTTAATCAAAAGAGCATATATATATATATATATATATATATATATATATATATATATATATAGGAATATATAGGATTGGTGCATAATTTTTTTGCAGGCGAGTTATTTGTTACTAAAAATTGCTGTATTGTTTATTTTTTAAATAATATTATTTTATTTACAGGTTGTAAAAATGCGTGACGTTAATCATATGCTCCGGAATAATCATTTAAAAATTTTATGTTTCTTTTTTCATAAAATATATTGTTTAAAAAGCGCCTGATAATTATGCACCAACCATATATATATATATATATATATATATATATATATATATATATATAGTTTTAAGGTGGGCTATATTTATGGGATAAAGAGATCAATATCAGAGATAGAGCGTATGTAAATATAAATATAAAAGTGAACATTGAAGTTAACACTCAGAGGCGACAGGCTGTTTCATGCACACCTTAAACCTATATTTTCTACATATATATATATATATATATATATATATATATATATATATATATATATATATCGTTATTTTAAGCGTTAATTTACATTTTTAGACGTACTCAAATCTTCTTCCATCTCACTTATCTATTGATATCAATTTTGATACAATAAGTTTCGCAACGTTAACCCCTAAGAAAGTGATGGTCGAATGCCGCCTTGGTTCAAAAAAAAATGAACACTAAACAGTATTGTTTAAAGCAATATCTGCATTCTGTGGTATTAAATTGTCACATATATATATATATATATATATATATATATATATATATATATATATATATATATATATATTAATGCATGTTTCATTAAATAATATAGACAAGTTTTGTCTTTTTATTCTAAGTAAGTTCCTTTCATATTGTCTGATAAACTTAACATTATCATTGAAAGACGAAAGGAAATCACCATATTTGTACATGTTTAAATCCATTAAATCCAAATTTTCGGCTTATATAAGCCATTATCAAAGATGACAATTAATTAAAACAACATGCCTGGCCGCGTACACAATTCTGGAAAATCCGTATTGAAATCACCTATACTTAAACATAAAAACAATAAACAAAAATTAAAAATATCGTTAATACTGTTTATTATAAACAGAGCGTTTACTTAAGTATTTGTATCTATAAAAAGAACTTATGAACATAAAAATCTCTCTCTCTCTCTCTCTCTCTCTCTCTCTATATATATATATATATATATATATATATATATATATATATATATAATGTATGAAAGCGTATAAAAATGTTCAACTGGTCTGAGGTTACGTTTACTTGTCATTCCTAAGTTACAAATCATCAAGCACTCAGTCAAACGTTTGGCCGTTAAGCTAAATTCTCTTTTGTACGTTGGGTTATTTTTTTAAATTCGTTTTTGGATTTGTGCAGTAAGTATAAATGTCACCAGGTAAATGAAGTTTATGATGATAAAATATAGTGGGTTGCTCTGGAATCACAAATACGGACACACATTTGAACCAGAACAATATATGTTGTACAGTGTGTTATGCATGGTCGCTTAGAAATAAAACAAATTAAAAGGAAAATCACACAAACACACCGAGTTACATATCCACTTCTTTGTAATTTAGCTGAGCATAGAAAAAGTTTTGTTTAATACGCTCGCATTTACGAAAAATGTTGGCATACAGAAAAACAGAAGACATTAAAGTCCTGACTTTTTCCTTTCTTTTACTCTCTCTCTCTCCATATATATATATATATATATATATATATATATATATATATATATATATATATATATATATGACATTATGAAATGGACAATGTCCGACAATTATTTAAACATTTTTTATGTTTATACATTCTTTTTATAGATAAAAAATATTTACTTAAATATTTTTTTTATAAAAAGAATGCATAAACATAAAAATGTCTTCACATAATTGTCGGACATTGTCCATTTCATAATCTGTGACGTCATTTGTTTACATTTGGATACGCTTTGAGCAGATATAAATGTACGCGAGAGATTCATGGAAGAACACCCTGAGCTGGAATGGTAACACCTGTTAGGGTCCCAGCTATGGGCAAATAGTTAACCTCCAGACTGGGATCAAACCACTATGAAAGTTTCAAAATAGGTTTTAATACCAGAAAAACATTGTAAAAAAATTATTACCAGAAATACTTTTTGGAAAAAAATATTACTAGCAAAACATTTTGGAAAAAAAATTTACCAGCTATACATTTTTTGAAAAAAAAATATTACCAGCAAAGGGAAATTATTACCAGAAATAGATTTTTGAAGGAAAAAAATATTACCAGAAATAGATTTTTGGAAAATAATATTACCAAAAATGAAAATTTTGTCAGCATTAAATAACCCATTGAGGTTGATATGCTGTAAAACAAAACAAACCAATATATACTGAGATAGATAGATAGATAGATAGATAGATAGATAGATAGATAAAAATATTACCAGCAAAAAATATTTTGTCGAATAACCCATTGAGGTTGGTATGCCATAAAACAAACCAAACCAAACCAAAACAAAGCAAACCGTTGCCTCAAGTTTTCTCCTCATCTTTGTCTATATGCAATACGTTTTCACAAACCCTTTCTTCCAGGATTATCAGACTGGTCTTAGATTAACAAATATCCCTCTTGAAAACCTTAAACCAAAATTACATAAAGCTCTATTTTCCGATCAGCATTGAATCTTCTTTTATGAAACTAATTAATTATTTACATTATTAACACGCAGACTATTGTCCCCATATGTTTTTGTTATCACAACGTTTTGACCGTTATACTATCTGACCTTCATCAGATGCTTGTTCATCCAGAATTTTGAATTGGACACTTTATTTAATTTACGTGGTATTCTCCTTCCGCGTCTGTTTATAAATAATGATAACTCCGCGTCCCAGAAATTCAGACAGAAACTAAAGAAATTTAAATTTCAAGGCCCTTAATCCAGGAGGGGTCCAGAAGCAACTTCTTTTTAAATGGGTTGAAATACTGAAGGTAAATCATAGAATATACTCTTATACTCATTTCGGGTCTCCCCCCAAATGTCTAATTGGTCAAATTTCAAATTTTTCTCGACTTTTTGCAGCGCTCGAATCACTGGCTTTATGGTGCCACTGAGTTCGGCCAATTCTTTTTATAGTCTATATTTTGGCAGTTAGATCTTCGAAGACTTGGATGTTATACAGAGTAGTATTTTTGAAGATCAGGTCTTAGGAAGAAATTTGAACCATCAAAAGAAAAAAAAATATCTGAAATCTTGCTTGTAGATTTTAACACCGAATGTCAGAGGATCTTTCCTGTTAATTCACCCCAAAATAAAAAGAATTTAAATTTACTAAAATTCACGCCAAATTCTCCCAGAGAGATGACCTTCCATTGCACTCCGTTTGGGTTGACCTTTGCAATGACCCCAAATATGGCTGAATTGGGTGAGCTATTTCTAAGTGTGGGGGTCTGTATTCGCGCTCATCTCGATAAACAAGCTTTTTTTTTTCTTTTTAAATTGTTAAAAATTCTTTTAAGTACCTCGAATATCATCCGCATTTACGAAATGTGAATAACTTTCTGGTTTTTGGTAATTTTTCATTTTGAGGATTGGAGTTGTTACGAGGTAAGCTAAACAATTTTTTATTTGAGATTTATCATCTCAAAAGAGCGCCAAAAATTTAATTAAAAAAAAAAAAGACCCAGAACAACTGAAATGTGTTGTTTGAGCGTTTGCCTTGGAAATTTAAATTGAAAAAAAAAAAAAAAAAACATTACACGAATACAAGAAGTTTCTTCATACATGAATAAATTTGTAGGACATTTCTTGATATTTGGATAGTTGCATATGATAACTGGGTTCCTAAAACATTGTTACCATCATTACAAAATGCTGATGAAATGCAGTAAATGGCAATCCCATTAACATTGGAGACCATCAATAGTGTGATAAAGCGCCCCTGCCGAGATATAAATGGATGTGGAGGTTGATTTAATTTTAAATTTATAATTTCTTGGGGCGAATTAATATTTTCGGTTAGTAACTTCACATTATTTGGGGTGAATTGACAGAATAGATCCAATTCAGATTTTCATCACTGACGAGACACATATGATGACCTTCGACCTCTTGCGGTAATCTGCGGTAAAATAACCCCATTGTGAAAGTTAACCACGGCTACCAAGACGCTTGTAGTAAGAGACTCAAAGCTGTCATATTTTGAAGGCCTGTATCATGTCATTCTTCATTATGATCTCGAGGTTCTTTCAAAGGTACCAAGTTCCTTTGAATCTGGTTCTTGGTTGTGAATGGCCGCCAATATCAATTCAGGTTTAATTTAGCCCTGTCACTGTCTGTGTGACAACCTGACCAATCTTAATTTTTTCCAAATCTGCCATCCATCCATCCATGAGGTCGTATGAAACGCCATATTGACATATGTTTACTTTTGCCTTGGTACAAATTATTCACAAGTAAATAATACGTCAAGCCATAGCCGTTCCATTTACTAAGGTTTTGTTATGTTGTTTGAAGGACTCAGGCAATAACTGAATGCATGAATAGGTCCAGCTCTTTACCTGTTTTACAAGTGGAACTGATAGTCACATTACGTTACAAATAGTCGTATTGAAAGTAACAAACAGTAATACAAATTGAACTAAGACAAATATGACAGACGATTGCGTGACGCATGCCGGGAACAGAAGTTTTATATTTTTTTATTGTTTTATTTTTATTTTCCTTTTTTATTTCTCGGTTATTTGCATCGGCGGCAGTGAAACCTACACCGATATCGAATTCTTAGTTATTTGAACAAGAGGGAAGTTAAGCTCGAACTTTGTCGGGGACAAAAGAACAAGCAGAAAAGAGAGAAAACTCGAGAAAAAGACGTCTTGTCTATTGTAAAAAGTTGGTTAAAAAAATGTCCGTTTTTTAACAGTAGAAAAAATTTTATTGACAATTCTTCTCCATTTCTCGTACAAACACCGCATTCTGTCTACCTACCTCATTATCACACGCACTATTTCTTCATATATATATATATATATATATATATATATATATATATATATATATATATATGCGTGTATGTGCATGCATGTATGAGCATGCGTGTATGTGCATGTGTGTGTGTTTGCATATATATATATATATATATATATATATATATATATATATATATATATATATATATATATGCATATATGTGCGTGCGCGTGTGTGTGCGTTTGCATGTATATGCATATATATATATATATATATATATATATATATATATATATATATATATATATATATATATATATATATATATAACGTGTTTGCATATATATATATTCGTGTATGTACGTGCGTGTGTGTGTGTGCATTTGCATATATATGCACATATATATATGTATATATAATATATGTATATATATGTATATATATGTATATATATATATATATGTATATATATATATATATATATATATATATATATATATATATATATATATGTGCGTGCGCGTGTGTGTGTTTGCATGTATATATATATATATATATATATATATATATATATATATATATATATATATATATATATATATAACGTGTTTGCATATATATATATTCGTGTATGTACGTGCGTGTGTGTGTGTGCATTTGCATATATATGCACATATATATATATATATATATATATATATATATATATATATATATATATATATATATATATATGTATATATATATATATATATATATATATATATATATATATATATATATATATATGTGTGAGTGTGTATATATATATATATATATATATATATATATATATATATATATATATATATATATAACATTGAACAAAACTGTCAAGGTACTTTTCTTTATTTTTTTATTCTTGTATGCATACAAATGTCTTTCTGGACTTAACGGAAGTAAAACATTTATCAAAAGTTCTTTCGTTCTGAACATTTTCGGCTAAACTGTTAGCCATTTTATTTTTTGTTCTATTATAGTGTGTGAGTGTCATTGTAGGAGGTATAATGGTTGCTGGCAGTAGACATATTATTAATTTCCAAACACGGTCGATATATCCTAGCCGTGTTCATACTTTAATTTATTATGGGTTGGTTTCTTATTTTCATTTGGGCCTCCATCTTTTAAATGTTTTTTTTTTTTGTTTTGTTTTTTTTTTTGTTTTTTTGCAGTGGGAGGTATGTATAGGCAACTGTGTTCCCAAAGAAAACAAATCATGAATAATTACGTCTGTAGACTACCACTCGCCTTTCAAGGCGACTGAACCAGAAGTTATCATAAAAGCTAGACTGATAGTTGAAGCAAGACTCGTACATTTGTCGTAGACATCTTTAGACATTCTCTTAGCTAGAATTTGGTCAATGACAATACTTTTTGTCTAAACCACTTCACAAATCAACCGAAACATTTTTCAGGCGTTGTTTCGGGCGTTCATGATAAGCCGATTTAATGCGCTTAAAAATGGCATAAAATATCCGTATTTCTTTCATAAAATGAAGAATTCGTGATTTATTTGCCGACCAAATATACAAGTCTTTCTGCAGATCAGAGCAATGGTTAGGCAATCTCATCTCGCGAACGTTCTGCTAAAGCAACGCCGTCAATCCTCATAAGGTCGACTACTACTATGTACTTTGCGCTTGACCAGATTCTCAAACCCTTTCCAGTTGACACTCCCCTCGGCCTCCAGCCATACTCGAAACAACGGACATACATTTGTTTCTTAGATTATATCTCTTGAGAATTTAAAACAGCTTCCCTACCGAACACTTTATCATAACTGACAACAGATGGCCAATTACCTTTGGGCTTTACTTCAAGAGAAAATTCAACTACCTTAAACATCTGCAATGTTATTGGCCCTGACATTGAATCTTGGCTTCAGTAGCTTTCCTGTGCTATAAATAATTTCATGGCAATTCTTCTTATGAGCTTTCCTCTTTGCTACCTACTATACGAATTTAAGGCTAGTACAAGATTGCCAGTGAAATTGGCTAGATGTAACCGTATGTATCTTTCTTCTATCGCACCTCTCGTTTGTGGAACTCTCTTTTGGATTCTTTATTTCCAGGTTATTTCGTTCTTGACCTGGAATATCAGCTTGGTTCACTGTGTCTTGCCAGACAATTTTTCTCACCAGAATCTATTTTACACATTTATAAGTCTACCATTCGTCCATGCATTGAATATTGCTTTCACATCTGGTCTGGTGCTTCTGCTATGTACTTAGATATTCTTGATAAAATAGAAAGAAGAATCTGCAATGTTATTAGTCCTGAACTGGTATCTCGGCTTCAATCGCTTACACACCGCTCTAACGTAGCTAGAAATATTCCCAAGGTAATTGTTTCTTAGATTATATCTCTTGAAAATTTAAAACAGCTTCTAACCTAACATTTTATCATAACTGAGAACAGATCGCCAATTACCTTTGAGCTTTATTTCAAGAGAAAAATTCCCTTAAA